TATCAGCGAAAGGTGCACACAAGTTTATCAGTGATGCTCATTGACTGCTTCACCCAAGGATGGCAGCTCAGAGGGCAGCCCCACCACAGCAAACAGAAAACCCAAAAAGCAACAGACCCAGTGAGTCTGTCTGTTCATTGGCATGCACTGCACACTTAACGAATCATAGAAATCCTATCACATTTGGGCTCTACATGGATCATAAAAAAAATCATCTAAGAAGCCACATGTTTTCTAAAAACTTAATGCACTTGCTGAACTAGCAATCAGAGGGAAAGCAATGCAGATATGTGAACCAATGCACTATCCTGATTTCAGCTGAGACAGAGTTAATTTTCTTCCTAGTAGCTGGTAAGTGTTGTGAGTTTTGGATTTTGCATGAGAATAATGTTGATAACACACTCRTGTTTTAGTTGTTGCTCAGTAGCCAAGGACATACCCTAAGTCAAGGACTTTCCAGTTTCTCATGTTCTGCCAGCAAAGAGGTGCATAAGAAGCTGGGAGGGAGAATGGCCAGGACAGCCAGCCCAAAGTGGTCAGAGGGATCTTCCATACAGTAGAACATCCTGCTCAATCTGTAAACTGGGGGAGTTGCCCAAGAGGGGCTGACGGCTGCCCGGTGGCTGGGTATCAGCGAGTGGTGAGCAGCTGTGTTGTGTATCRCTTGTATTCCTCTTCTGGTTGTCTCCCTTTTCATTACATCTTCATCATTTTTATCATGACCATCTTTATTATTATTATTGYAGTTGTTCTATAATTATTCAACTATTCTTATCTACTTTTTCTCCAATTTTCTTACCCATSCCCCTGCAGAGGTACAGGGAGCGAGTAGATGCATAATATGTGGCTGTCATCTGAGGTTAAGCCATGACACTCATGCTGCAAATAGCACAGATTCTCCAGACAAAACTGCAAATCCTGAGCTTTTCCTCAGCTACCAATACTGCTTCTGGTATTTGGCCTCTCCCCACGGTCCCACAGCCCTGAAGTTAATTCTGAAATACACAAACACTGTTGGGGCACCACCTTTTAGAGATATTCAAATCATGATGAAAACTGTTTCTCATGCAGCCTACTAGAGACATGATATCTTCTGGAGGGAGCAAATTATCTGCCATACTTAAACACTTTGCCGTTCACCTGCATTTCTCATCTTTCCTACACCATTTTCTCTGCCAAATACCAAGGAGATAGTAGTGTATATATGTGCAATATATAGGCAATAAACTGCATATAATAGATGCAGTAGATTSAAATACTGCATTTTTGTATCCTCATAAGCTATTCATTGGATTAAGTATTCTAAGTCCCACAGGGAGTACTGCAAATACACAAGTCTCTGGGTGCTGGATTTGAGTCTCTGACGTATGTAACAGATGTGTAAAGTAACACATAACCAGATGYCTCTCTAGTAAATGCACAGCTAGAGACTGAAGCCCTGAAAATTTTGTGTTCAAGGGCAAAGGAAAAGGGAGAGAATAAAACCAAAACCACATATCTAACAAGAAAAGAAAAATTTGGGCCTTATGGATTTCTTGTCTATAATGCTGTAATTTTTCATGTCTGTAATGCAGCTCTGGTATCATAAGAGAGGACTTTTCAGGAGGTGCGAGTCCTGTCACTGTGGCCTGATTTGCTCCATACCAGGTTCATCAACCATTTCTTGATGTCTTTGATATTTCAGGGTCCAAAGCCTCCACTGTAATTTCAAAGACTTCCATCCAGAAGAGAAGTCTAACTCCTTAGAAGAAAAAAAAGCATGTGGCAGTACAACAGTCACCGCCACAGAGGCCTTTCTCCCTTCCCTGATTTGGTGTGTCCTGGCTACAGTGGCTGGGAGAAAATAGCTGCTATACTTTTGCAATAACCTTCTAAGGCAGAGGAGAACGGTAGGTGAGAAGAAGTCAAAAACTTGTTTAAAAGCTTCAGTTTAACATTTCTGGCTACTTCCATTTCATGAAGTAACTTAACACCATTCTCTGCTATAAACTGTGCGAACCACTGACTTCAGATCTGGATCCTRTCTTTTGCAAAGCTGCTGGCGGGCTTGGATTCAAGGCTTTGGTTCAAGCTCTTATGTACTCCATACTAGAATGACTTATACCATACATCCTTTAAAATAAATAGCCTCATAGTGAGGCAGCACAGTATTGACACAGTTCATTTTTACATCACTGTTTTGAAAGCTTAGGGAAAGCACTGGAAACATTACAGCTTTCGAGTATTTTGCCTTATGTKGTTTACAGGCAGGAGAGTCAACAGCTGTGCAAGCTTCACCCTTTTCCTGGGACATGCAGTGTGGCAGAGCAAGTCCCAGGCAGTGGCCACCAGAGCTGAGCAGAACAGGCATGGTGGCACTGTCACAGGCATGGCCATGTCTGACTGCTGCCCTTCACTGTGCCACTGCACTCTCCTGCCTCCCTGCAGTGAAGGTCCCCATCCTCTGTCCCYACCACCTCCTCTTTCACAAAGGCTCACACACACATACTGAAACAAATGAATAATTCCATTATTTGCCTAGCAGCCTGTGCACTTTCCTTCTGATTCACAAGAGTGGTGCCCCACTGATACAGGGGATGATAAAATGAAAAAAGTCTAAAGAAGTCTCCAGCAAGCACACGTATTATTAAAGCCTCATTTCCACTCAACACATGTTGCTTTGGGATCTAATGCGGCTGATTTGATGGGAAAATACAAACAAAGTCTTCTTCCATTAGCTGGGGCAGGGGGTGGGGAAATCAAACCAGTGCCATCTTTGTTGAAGAGCTCCACAAAACTGATGGTTTAGGAGAGCTGAGGAGCAKGGGCAGGGGACAATTTGTGACTGATCGCCGCCATCTGAACATGGCATGCTGACAGCTGAATGAAGAGCGAAACAAAAAAGGCATGTGTTTAATCTGGGCAGGCTCGGTCCCCTGTGTTCACTCCCAGTGAAAAACATAGGGCAGGAAAGAGTCGGTCTTTCTGCCTGCTCAGCTCAGCACCCACGTAACCCCCTGGCACACACCACAGTACCTTCTCCAGGCACACAAATGGGGGCATTATTTCTTCACATGCTGAAAAAAATAAGAAAGGAGAAGAATACCAGTACAATTTCATATATCCTAAAATGGATCTTTTGGCACCAAAGAAGTTTACTCCAATGCTCTSACAATGAGCTCCTGCACTCTCCAATACAGAGAAAGCTAAAAACAACCTCAACGATTTTCTGAGTGCAACACAGAGCTGATAAAATGACTACAAAGGCCACACAGATGCTACAAAGATACCTTTTCCTGAACTTTGACATGTGCTTCCTCAGAGAGCAACAAGATTGCAGTTGTGAAAGGAAAATCATGCATGTTATCCTGGCCTGACGTCAATGAAAAGAGGGCAGCAATAAAAAAAWTTTGATTTATGCTCCACAGAACCTGGGAGAGTGGGATGGAGAGAAAGCAAAGGTGGACTGAGGGTGATCACMTGATGGTCACTACAGAGAACTTCTCTGTCACTAGTTTGGCTGTCACCTACACCTGAAACAGGGCTCACCCCAGAGAGCAAGGCATTTCCCCACCTCAGCTTTCAAACAGGTTTGCATTAATACCTCATTTCACAACCACAAAGATTACCTCAGACTCCTGCTGAAAGAGTCCTGTATTCCTCTTTGGGCTSACACTCCCTAGTGCAAGACTTGCACATAAAAAGGAGTTGGCTACACTGATTCAAAAAAATTTTGAACTTTTCAGAAAAATCAGTACAAATGCCTACAAGAMCATTACAGTTTCCCAAGCAATGGCTCTTGTCCATGGACCAGAAAGTAAATATTTAGCTCATTGCAGTGGACCTGTTGATTTCAAAAGAAACTTAACAGCTCAATTCGTACAAAGCAAATACCGAGCAATCACTAAGGTCGGCTATGCTCTCTTCTCTTCTGAAATCTGGTAAGCAACATGTCTGCAAATGCCACTTGCCAAAGAGTTTTGATTCTTTGCACATTTGTAGGAATGTGTGCCCTTGCTTCTTCCAGGTTACCTATGTCTTTTTGATTCTGCAGATTCCTTATAGCAATTTTGTCTCTCTCAGCACAATTGTGTGCCAGAACAGAGTAAATAACTTGAACGTTTTATTTAAGAAGGATGCTGGTTTTTTAGTGTTCATTTATGTAACTTYTTCAGTGGTTTAAAGTTTACAACTGTAGCATTTTCTCCTTACTAGACCCATGTATGATTCTTTTCTAATGAGAAATGAAAAAAAAAAATACTAGACAGAAAAGATGAGCTTTTCCTTCCCTTGAATTAACTTTGGACAACACAATTCAGCCTCAGTCAGGGAACTCTTACTTTAGTTGCTATTCAAAAATCCAAGTGCAATTTGCAACTSTATTTATGAAAGCGGACATTATTTTCTTTATACCTTTAACTACATTTGTTCAAAGACACACTGATGAAGCAATTAAGGCAGACATATTATTAAAGCCGGTGTAGAATTCACAAGCTCTGCTGAGAAGTTTGGTATTTTAATGGGGTGTTTAAACATAAGAATGAGAATTATGTATTTAATATAAAAAGATCACTGAAGAATTCTGTAAAATCAGATTACTCATGACATTATCACCAAYAGTAAGAGATTTGTATATGCATTTTTCTGGCTGTGCATTGTATGTTTTTCAATAGCTTTCTTCTGTTGAGTTACCATATGATATAGATTCCAAACTAGGAAATATTTAGGCTCATGCCTAACTTTCAGAGAGAATAGCCTCATTGATTTAAGCACGGTTTAACCCTTATAAATGGAAGAATGATTGCCTGTTTGTGGGAGTGGAGCTCATGGGGCCCATTTTCAGAAAGATAAATGCATTACACATTTTTACTGCTGTTTCTGGATTTGCTGCTACAATTCTCTCCCTCCTTCTGCCTGTTTCTGTTGTCTTCAACAACAATATCATGACACTCTGAGTTAAATAATGATTAATTTAATTACAAACTAACTGCAATGTATAACAAGACCCTCCAACCACTTACCTCAAATCATGCGTGTTTCAAGAAGCAACTGTTAATATCCTTTTTTTCCCCCTCTCACAGGAGATGTTGCAGACTTTTTTTTCTCGTATTTTGCATTAAAACTYCTTCCCTGTGTTTCAGGATCTTAAACAAAAACAAAAAAAGAAACACTGAGAATGAATATGTCATTTCAAGCAACTGGTGGGTGGCTCAGGGGAAATCCCTGACCTTTTTCCAATATATATTTCATTATCTAAAGCAAGTGTGGTGTGGTAACTTCCCCCAGCAGCAGCTCTTCTGTGGGCTGTACATTTAAAAAAGAAAAAAAAAAATACYCAACCAACCAAAAAAAAACCCCATCCCACTGGCTTAGAACCCTCAAAAACATGGCATTTTAAAAATCTGTAAGACAGTACAATACAAACTGTTCATTTAATGCACAATACAGGATACTCCACAAATTTCTGATGGTAAAAAGGGAAGAAAAGACCAGAATACAAACCAGAAGAAAAATCATTATGTAAAGTATCAATCTGCTGCACAGTTTCATTATTACTATCGTTGTTACTATCACTAATATTACATATGGCCAGCTCCCTCAATCTTCACTGAGTTGCTGTAGTATTTCTGTAGTAGCAGTGAGGGGGAAGTAGTAGCCGAGCTGGAGARGCAATGCAGCATTAGCACTACAAAACCCAGCCCAGCTGTCGAGAGAGGAAGGAAGGGAGGAGGAGCGACAAAGCGATTTAATTAAGCATAAGTGGCAGGTCTCTAATACAATCAACTTTGACATTCTCCGTCACCACCAAAAAAGGTCTGAAGGGTTTTGAATTTTCAGCAAGTGCTGCTACCAGAACACTTTCTCACCACCCCCCCTTTCACCCTCCTCCCTCTCTCATACCTGCAGCAAGACTTGGCCAGGAGCCGGCGGAGTACGTAAGACTCCAAACCAGGCTCTGTCAGCAGGAAAACACTGCCAGCCAGTGCAGAGTTCACGTTCCGTCTGAGAGCGTGGACTTGCATTTGCACAGCCTCTCTGGATTACAAGCATCACGGTTATTTCTCTACAAACGATTTTTAGGATCAACAATCACATTCATTTATGCTYTGTAAAAAGCCTGATAAACAAACTGCTCCCAGGGTTACACCTGCGGCTATCCCCACCAAAGCTGACAAACTTGTCCAGTATGAGAGGATTTCACCTGGTGTGCATGTAAGCCAGACCACTTTTGATTTTTTTTTCTCGGCTAGAATAGACAGGTCTAAATAATTTTCCCCTTGCTTTTATTTAAGAAATGAAGACAATATCCACAGCCTTCTGTGGCCATAAATAACTCAGAAAAGACAACTTTTCCAAAAGTGGTCAAAGAATCTAAAAGAACAGCTTTCTACACCACAGTTTATTCCCCCACACACCCTGGAGGAAAACAACCCAAAACTCCAAGCAGACTGACACACAAATAAGGGGGACCTTGACACTTGTACGAAGGCTGTGTCTATGTCACCACTCCCCAAAGCTGCTTATGGTACAAAATACTATGCTTAAATTACCCTGCTCCCCTACTCCACCGTGCTTATTCATGCTGACGTGCTGTCACCTTTTTCTTCAAGGAGCCTGCTCTCACTCAACAGTCAAACCTACAACTTGCAGGGCAAAGCCTCTAAATCTGTGACACAAATCCAGAGAAGGCTGCAAGTTCAAAGTGAAATGAGGACAGTCTGTCCATGACTCATGCCACCTAGAAACCATTCTTAATTTAAGAAAAAGTGTTGAAGGGATTATCTTACAGAGTGTTGCCCTGCCGAATCAGCTAGGTTCTGGCTCTCATTTTTGCCCTGACTCAAATACAAGGCAGCCGAATGAAAAYCAGCAGAAAATCCTCCTGTTCTCACTTTACATACTTACATTTTTAATGGTGTGTTTAAAGAGTCAAATGAAGCTATTTGATAGACAGATTCCCAGCTATCCTCCAGGCTTTTCTGCATGACCTATGGGCAAATGCTATGTGACACTTCCTGAAGGGCTGAAATAGCTCTGAATGACACTTGAGCTTTTATAGTACAACTACAGCATGAGAGTTTGGCTCCTAATGCACATTGTCACTTGACCCAAATTTTCCCCTGCCTCTATGGGAAAAATAAGTACTCCCCCATCTCAGAGGGCTCATGGAATGAACACAACACCTGTGCTGATTTAGTGGCTAATCTGGTAACATGGAGAAACTTACTGCAAGTTATTGATCTCCTAAATCAGGCTGAAACTTCACATACCCAGAAAAAAAACCCTGAAAACCAAAATAAGGAGTGAGTCATCAGCCTGTCCCTCTGAAACCATTTTGCTGGATAGTCATTTCACTAGTACAACTCTCTTCTCCAGGGTGCTCCCAGCAAGCGTGGGGGACACTGAATGGCTTTACTGTATTAACACAACAGCTTTACAGCTACTGAAAAAAAAGGCCTATTGTAGGCCTACATTTTACTATTTCGAGTAGCATACATAACGGTGCTGTACAGCTTCCATTACCCATCTGATCCTTACAGAAACAGGAGCAACAAATCAAGAGTTTGTCAAAAGAAAATAGATTTAACTGTGATAGAGGAAATAGTCTCGTTTAAAAAAAAAAATAAAGTAACCATTTATATAACCACTTTATAGAGRATGAAACACTAAAAATTCAGTGTAACAAAAATACTTTAAAAGCATTCTGCCCTTTTTTTTTTTTGCTACATCGTAATATCTGTGAGCCAAATTCAGATTTCACCATCAAAAAAAGCACTAGGCCTGCTATCCACATGTGCTTTTCCTGCTCATGGCTTGCACCTCTATGTATTTATGATATTTGCTCAGTAACTGAAATAGTATCAAAACCAACTCTTAATAATATCAAAACCAACCAAGTGAACTCTTAATACAGAACTACTGGGTCACACTTACAAAGACTCATTCAACAKACAAATAATGCTGGACTTTGCAAAACATGTGAGTGGACCTGACAGCCCCTTTCTAAATGTCTTGATTTTTCTCTGCAGTGTCTGTGGAGTCAGGGAAAAAGGAGAGTCCTGAATTAGGCACATTCCTCCTAACATTCGACTACTCCACTCTCCCCCTTCTGGAGAAATGAATGCAGCTTCAAACAAATTAAAAGAATATTTTGTCAGCTCCTTCACTCTTCCTGGTGCAATGAATGAGGCGGTGCTTGGCTTCTCTAGCCCCCAGCAGAGGCAGCTCTGAAGTACAAATCCTCCTTCCTCCTCCCATACACACAGAATTAATCCTGCCAGCTGCTAAGATGAATTCAGACAGGACTATATTCAGTAGCCTATCAAAACTGCACTGTGTTGTACCACTAACCCTTAAGAATCAAAAGGTGGTCCATCAGCACACATCTCCCCAAAACACAGTACTTGCCTCAAAAGCGACGAGACTGGACAAAAATCCCTGGGTCTATTTCTCTGCCTTCTGGCTCCAGAGCCATGGGAACACAACGATGCTATGCTGCTCTGCACTCAAAAGGCAGAAATATTTGTTTTTCAGTGAAAGCTGAGACAGGCACTACCCCTTGCTTTGGCAGCTTGAGACCTTAAGAAAACCTCAAATACCCAGAAAGTAGTAGCCTGATAAAATACCTGCAGTAGAACACCTCTTTTCCCCCAGTCTTCCTTGGTTTCACAGTGGGGTCCCTCTCAACAGGCCGTATGGAACCGAATGGAGTAAGATGATTTTCCATTCTAGGGAATTTGCACATTTGCTGTGTTAGCATGACTTGACTCTGATCAAAACTGATAAACAAACTACAGCAATGGAAACACACACTCAAGCAAAGAGAGAAATGAAACCCCAAGACAAGCTACAGAGAAAGACTCGGCTCTTGTTTTTGGATTTGGGCAGGCTTGCCTACTGCCAAGCCCGGGTGGCAGACAGGACTGCCCGCCTCCCTTGCCACCCCCAGGGCAAGCAGTTCTGGGGTGGGCCTGGGCATAAGTAGCACTATTGCACATGACAGGACAGAGCCAAGGCCAGCTGAGAACCAAGTGGATTGCTAAAATATGATCTCATTTTGGGATGAGCTATGAGGGATGGAGAAATGATGGCACGTACACTGCACACCTCTCGCCATGGGGTCAGAAACTCTTCGCCCCAAATCTCACAGGAATGCACCTACTACTCTCCCCTGCCTCTGCCAAGGAGGCTCAGGCACGTGTTCATACATGGTATTTACTCTTTTTCTTGCCTTCTGCTCATAAGCACAAAGGCCACGAAGTCCCCTCTTTTCCTAACAGCCGAAGTGACTTTATTGCATGATTTTTGGACTAGAACTACCCGCCCACGCTCACTGCCCCCATGCCTTGATGCCACCTGTTTATCATTACAAGGTGACACGGAGCCATGCTCTCCCCCACCYACCCTGAGGCGTGGTCATGTCTTTCCAAGTCATAAAGCCCCAGTGCTACCAGGTGCTGACCTCAGGCTCTCCCTGGCACCCAAAGTGCCTCCTTTATTCATCCCAGCATGAAGGTCTGAGAGAGACAGACTGCATCACAAGTCAGTGGCTTCATCCCTTGGCAGCAGCCCTGCCGTACGACTGCCCGTGCTCAGAGGCAYAGCCCTCCTTGGCTCACAACCTCTGAAAACAAGGAGTGCCAGTGGATGAAGAGCTGAATACTCTCCAACCACTCAGTCACTGGCCAACCCGCTCTGAGCAGTAACATACATCTTCCTGTAAAAGTTCAGCATGTTGCCCACAAAAAGCAGCAGGCAAGCGTGCCTCTGCTAAAGAGCACATATAGYTCAGAAAGAGACGTTAAGAAAATGAAATATTGCATGATACACAATGTCCAGCTACATTCAGAGTTCTTCAAATGAAGTGCTCTTGACAAACAACAGAAATTTCACATTGTTTAGAACAGATGGGCCTCATATTTTTTCCTATTGCCTTCTGCTTTACTTACTCATCTCACCTACCTTCTAATTATATGAGGTTGGTTTCTTTTTGGATCTAGTTGCTTGCTGCTGTATAGATAGATCTGGACAATCAACTTCCCTTATGCAATTATGTATCTCCAGTGACAGAGAGTACAAGACACTCAGGACACTTCAAAAGAAAGCTGTGATGACCTTTGTTGCAGGAAACTTTGGAGGCCCG